GCGATAAAAAGAATGAGAACATTGTTTGGCTGAATCTAAATGGTAAAGTGATATCTAATCCTATCAAACCCAAGTTTTCAATAGGTGATAAAGTGAGAATAATTAAAAAGAAAGGAGCATTTGAAAAAGGGTATACACCAAGATGGACTGAAGAAGTATTCATAGTATCGCAAGTTCAGTACACAGATCCACCAACTTATAAAATAACTGATTACAATGGTGAAGAAATACAAGGTACTTTTTATGAACAAGAACTTCAAAAAACGAATCAAGAGATATTTAGAATTGAAAAGGTTATTCGTAAACAAGGTAATAAATCATTTGTAAAGTGGTATGGGTATCCTAATACTTTTAACTCATGGGTTGATAATACAGAATTGAAAAGTTTATAAATAATTATCTTAAATATATAAAAAATGCAAAACTCTAATGTAAATGTGAATATATGCGTATCAGCTACTTCTGGAAATGCTAATACAAATACTACTGTAACAGCTTCTTCATATTCTACAGCATCTACAAGCAAATAAAAAATCTAGCGCATGCGCACTGAGCAGAGCATAAGATCAATCTGAATATCACGTGACGTCATGCAATAATTTTTCGTAACATTTCATAACAAGAAATAAAAATTAACACTTATTTTAAAAAATCAATTTTTTTAAAATAAAAAATTATTTCTTATCTAAATAAATTATATACAACATGGTTCAATGTTAACCTCAATATTAATATTAATTTATGGTTGAAAATTTGGTTGAAAATGAAAAATCCCTCTGATCTCTCCTTTTTCCTACTACTAATGTTAGTTTGTTTTTTAACTCTTGCAATGATTTATCAATTTAATTTTTTCAAAATATTTGGAAATTATTCGATCGACTTGTCCTTATGTTTTTTATGTTTTTTAGACAAATGTTCTTTCAATCTACTTGGCCTCATTACCTCATTTGATAGTGCTTAATTACATATTAAACAGATTGGGTTCTGCTTATTTGCTATTCTTTAAATGAAACCCAACGTCAAATATTCCAGTAAAAACACACAAGCGTATTCCTTTTTTATGACATTTCGTAAAGTTTTCTTTTATTCATCTCTTATTTATCCCTGTATGGTATACTGTTATCATATTTAGACTGGTTCATCTAATGGTAATCTTTCTCTTATAGATAAGATACAAAAAATATATTGCAAACGTAGTTGGACCTGCTTTATCTGCCAAGCTTAAGTTTTTACCCGATGGTCTAAAAGTTGCATCTTTTTCGCTTTTCTGCAAATACTGTCATGGTTGCTACTCAAAGGAGCTATCATTTTTAGTTCCATCAGCCAAAAGTCATTTTTACTTGACTTTTTATCCAGCACAGTCACATCCTTTACTACATCTGTTCCTGCATGCTCATAAAACTTTTATTTTCCTAGTTTTTTCCCCTCCCTTTAACCCAAGTTTTCAGTTAACCATTTCATAGCTTTTTAATTCTACTCTTTTTTTTTTAAGTAACTTCTAACTTAATAGTGGTTGTTTGCAGCGTTGTTGGAAGAGCATTTAAAAAACAAAATTAGAAGTTGAAAAAAAACATTTTGGTTATTCAGAAATCTAACTATATACTGATAAGAGATTGCAAGATATGAACGTTTTCTATTTATCGGTGATTGAGTATTGAAATATTTTGAAATAATCATATATCATTTTTTTATTGTTTTTTTTTTTTTTGTTATTAATGGAAGTATATAAAAGTAACCATTTTTAATGTTTATTTGTAAACATTAAAAACAGGAAATATCTATTTAATCCAAAAAAAAATCCTACCACCCACCGAAAAATCCAGGTTGACTACCAGTGGTATAGTGTTTAGAGCTCTACTTTAGAACTGGAGGTCCGTGGTTCGAAGCTGGCTCTGGCCATATATGCACCATTGATAAGGAACATTTTACAAGAGTTTCCATATGCGCTTTAACATATTTACACCGTAAAGGTTGACAGTACAGAGTTGGCGAAGGCTTTTGCTACTCAATTTTTTCACCTTTGCCCTGTGCAGACATTTTAAGAGGCAATAAATATATTTAAAATGACTTTTTTCAATAGGTAAAAATTCACGATAAAAATCTTTAGTTAACTGTTTGTAAACTGATTGTTCTGTTTACGAACAGATAACTGAAGATTATTATCCAACTTCTGTAATCAATAGAAGATTAAAGTTTATAGAGGATTCATTTTCAACTTTTATTATTGATTATTTGGTTTAGATGTTTTTAAAGCAGAATAATCTTGTACTTTTATTCCAGAGGCAGTGGCGAAACTACCATACCGCTAAACCCCGCAATGCGGAGGGCCCCAGAGCTGTAGGGGGCCCATATTTTTTGAAGGAACTGTGTTTAAAGTAACGTCTGACCAAAAATCGAAAGAAATAAAATATAAAACAACAACAAACTGATCAAAAACAGTAATTACAAAAATGTAAAAAAACACCTCTTTGTGGTGGGGGCCTAAAAAATATTATGCGGGGGGGGGGGCAAAATTTGAGGTTCCGCCACTGCCCAGAGGCAGAGACTCGGAGCTTTTTCGTACTGAGTTATACGAGGGATATAGTTCGGTTAATCCTTATTCCTTAAGTCCATGAAAAAATGTGATACAGTCCTATATAAGTAGTTTGAATTGCTACAGAAGAACAAGAGATTAATAACTATTACAAGTACACATGCTATACGTCCTTATTTCTTTTACTACTTTGTATCTTTATTAGTGTCTGAGCTTCTTTTACTTTGTTATCCATTCTCAAATTATCAAAAAATAAAAATTCATAAATTATAAATCCATAAATTTTCAGCTGTAACAGCTGACAATTTATGGATTTCTGGTACCGTAGTTTCTCTGATTTTCTTTTTTTATCTAGTATCATACACCAAAGAACTCCGTTGTAGGTTTTCTTTTTACTTTAAATTGATATGACATTAAAAAAACATTGGGTAAACCTCTTCATGTTTTTTATTTACTAGAATTAACAAAAGTTGGTTCATCTCCTTTTCATTAAATTTAATCTCCTTTACATCAAATTTAATCCAAATAAAACTCAAAATGTTTTTTATTTCTTGCCAGTCTCCTCTCCAGCTTTTTTTCATCTCTTTGTTAGTGCATACATGAAGTCCTTAATAGGGATGGCTTTTTTACTTACTTTTTTTTTTTACTTACACGAGTAAGTTAGTTTTTATCAAAAGTAAATTAACACGAGGCTACTAAAAATCTGCACAAAATTTGAACGTTCGAAACTCGCGAACAAATTCAAATATTTCTGCATTTCGAAATTAAATATATTCACTAGACATTCTTATTTCATAATCTGATACTGACTTTGGCAATTAAAATTATATAAATAAAATGGATGGAATTAAAGAAAATGACAAACGAAAGCTTATTGGAAACTTCTATTTAGATAACAAAGACAAAGGGAAAATATTTACAGTGCATCATTTTATGCAAATGAAAGTTGCAAAGCGAACAATTTATAATATTATTAAAAGAGTTGAAGACAATATTGACCTTAAAAAATTTGGGAAGCGGCAGAAAACGATGACAGATGGTCAATCAAATCCAATAGTTAATAACTATTTATAAATTACAATTTGATCTTTCTAGCTTTAACTGCGGCAAATTTATCTATTATGCCGTCAAAGTCTGTTGGTTCTAGAGTTTATCTTTCGACACTAAGAATTTCCAAATCAACAAGACGTTTTTGCCCCATTGAATCTCATACATATAAAAGAATAAGCTTTAACTTGCTGAAGGAACGTTGGCAACTGGCTATCGACACTGCAATTGTGAGCAAGATTTGTAATACAATGCGTAAGTTTGGAAAAACGTCATCTCCGTATGACGAAATAAATGAAAGTAAATCATGCGGAATTGATGATATCGGGCCGAAATCCCGGGATTTAGAAATTATAAAACTACGATTAATACCTGCGTTTACCGATTAATACCTGCGATTAATTTGCGCCAAATAAAACAAAAATAACAACAAAGCTATAAAATTTAGTATCAATGCTATAAAAGCTATAAAATTTAATACCAATGTTTTCATTATTGATTTATAAGTTTAAAGTAAGTTTAATCTTAATATATTGTGGCTTTTGATTATTTTTTATATATTGTAATAAACTCGCGCGTTTATTTGGAAATAGTAAGAAACTAATTTTAATTATTAAAACTAAATTATAATAATAATATGAATAATAAAAATAACAATAATGAAAATAAGATTGAAAATTTATTTGTAATTATTTATATTGTATTATTTATGAGGCGATTTGTCAACATACCTAAATCTCCAAACAATGTTAAAAAAAATGGTACTACCCAGCAAACATCAAGCAGGTGGACCGACAATGGACCGCTGTCAGCACTTATGCCGTGCCGACGTCGGCCGCCCGCTGCGTTAGCTTGCACACCGTATTTACATTGGTCCGTTAGCGGAAAACTGAAGGCGGTTCGACAGCGGACCGATGGCGGCAAATCGACAACGTCTGAACAGCGATGATAAAGCCATTGCGGAATAGCATAGGATCTATAATAAGTTTTGACTAAGATTTGAATGCATTTATATAATTATTTTTGTATTTTTGTTTGAATAGAACGCACTTATCGTTAGCAAAAATCTTTATATCTTTCAGCTCAAATTTTTACTCATGAAAAAATGCAAATCCTGCGAATGCCTGGAAGACACATCAAATACCTTTTGACTTTGTGCATAGGTATATATACAAAATACGAATTTATTATACTAAAATTCTCCTATCACCGAAAAACACTACCCCAACTGTAAATCATTAGGTCATACGTGGCAAGGCTTAAGCTCGGTGAGCAAAAAGACTAATCAGAAGTTATAATGAAAATCATTTTAAAATTGCAATTTACAATTACAACATGAATATAAAAGTAACAATAATTTCTTTTTAAACTAAAACAAAATATAAAATATATTTGCATCTATAGATAATTGCTTCACTTGCGTTTAGCGAACGTTTAAAATATAAAATAGTTAATTTTCAACATATCAATTAGTTCAGTTTATTCTAATTTCAATCGAAAAATAAATATATTCAGGAAACCGTGTGTTGAAAATTGATTTACGTTGCAGTCTGCAGACTTCTAACTTTCACCTAAAAGCAGGCAATGATATTTAATGAAAATATTGAAACAGTCAAATTTAGAGCTATTACAACAAAGATAATAAACTAACCTTCTCAGCCCTTAAAAACGTGTTCGTTTGAAATAGTCTGATCACCAGTTATTGACAAATAACTTCAGATACTAAGTGCATCTACATTGAATAAATATAAATTCAATTTTATTATTTAAGCATAATTTAAAACATAAAAACAACAAAAACATTGCTTAAATTGAAAAGCTATGGAAATAACTTTAAAAATAAGCTATATAAAAATAAAGTCATATTGCGTGCCTTTTTAAAAAAATAAAACTTCATATACAGTAACCTACCTGGTATACCTAATCCTATAAATATGCTTGAGGGGTTTATAAACAATAAAAAAAAATTGTTATTTCATTAAAAAATTATCTTTAATTTTAATTTTAATTTAACAAATAAAATAGTATTTAAAAATGAGATACTTATATGCCAGGTTGGAAGTAAAACCGTAAAACCCACAGCTACTTAAGGGCAATGGTGAACCTTTTGCAAACCATTAGCCTAAAACACAAGTGCACATCTGAAAAAGAAAGAATCAGAGACAGAACACATCAATAAAAATATATTTTGATAAACTAAAATATAGTTTGCACATTGAAATTAGTTTTTACCATACAAAAAAAAAAAACATAGCGCAATATAATATACTATAAAAATTCCTTGAAAAATATAAAAAGTCAAATAATTGATTGAAATAAAACGGTTTAGTAAATAAGTATATAATTTTTTTTCTAATAAATTATTTGTAAGCATATAAAGAGCAAATAAATGTTTAAAGAAATATGATTTAAATCCAGTTTGCAAATCAAACAACTATCTTATACCCATGGCAATATTTGGATCATGGTCAACATAATTCTATGAAATATAACTTTGGTTGAGGTAAACAGTTTCCTGTAAAGAAATATTAAATCATAAATGTAACATTAAATTACAAGCATGTTTTAACGGTATTGTTAAAGCAATACTTTAAAATAATGGCTTGTAAAATAAAAATTTTGTTGAATTTTTATTTATCTGCTTTACCGGTTAAATACCAAGTTAGGTTAAATACCAATTTAACTTTCCATCAATAACTTTACATTTTAAAGCTTAAAGTTGTATTTATATTTAATATAATCAAACGAATCAAACAGTAGACAGACTCCAGAACTTATATTTTGGATTTTTTTTTTCAAAAATAACATTAAAACAAATAATATCAAAATAATAAAATTAATCTTACTTTATTCTCTGGTAAGATTCAATATCACGATTTAAATTCTCATCTACAATAGGTTACTGTAAAAGGAAATGAATATGAAAAACACGGAAACAGTAATACTCATTGCACAAAAACTTTACTCCATTGAGTTTAAAAATAAAAATATTTAAAAATATATTAATTATTGTAAAATAAAGAAAACAAGTTTGTAAATAAAGATGCTTATTTAATTTAACAATGTTATTTATCTTCTGAACTAAAAAAAGCCGTCTTTATGTAATGGTTTTGGAAAACTTGAAGTAGGCATCACTTTTTTCTTAGCCTGTTTGTTTTTTTGGTCTTGTCTAACTTTTTATCCGCCATTGCGGTCTTATGCACCACGCAAAAAACGCACAACCTCATATTGAAAATCTGATTCAGTTGCTGAAGTTGTTGCAGGATTTCTTTTTACAGCTCCTAAAAATTAATTTAAGACTTTTATTTAACTATCTAGCAGGAAAACAAAAAATATATTTTTTAACTCAATTTCAGAAATATATAGAATATGTTTTTAAAGCTATTTATTTACAAATTTTATTTATTTATTTATTAACTTTTTACTTATAAATAGTTAATAAATAAATTTTATTTATTTATCAACTATTTATTAACAAATAGATTAGTAATTACTAAATTAGACACAAGTAATTATTAAATTAGAGTAATAAGCCCCTCCAAAAAAAATTACTTTTAAGCAAGTGTAAGTCTTTTAGACTTTGTTTTACGAAGTTACTTTCATTGTCATTTCTGGTAATACCAGACCAGTTAAGTTTACAGCAGACATTATTAGTAAATAATGCAAAGGACATTTTCCGGACAGCCTCCTTTAAAGTCTAGCCTAATTTACTTGCCAAAGCTATTATCTACAAAAAACATAGAAAAAGCATCAGTAATATATATATATTAAAAAATATTTTTTAAAAAACTAAAAAAAAAAAAATCAAATTAAGGCTATTAAATATTGCATAACATTTATTAAAGGCTTTATGTCCTTTATTTCCGTTTATAAATGATCTAGCTACCATAAATAAAAGCTGATAAACCAAACTTATATACTTTACCATTAATACTAATACCAGAATCAAATAAAGCAATACTTTCATTAACAAACATTTTTAGAAATTTATTACGTTCTTTTGGTTTAGACCTACTATAAAAAAGACCAACAATAAATGGGGTTTTATTGTGTTGAATATTGTTTATCCACATTTTTTATTAAACCTAATATTGGCCAAAATTAAACAATATTTTAAACAATGATAAATCATCAACGAAGACTTGAATTGATATACAATCCTTTTCTTTAAAAAAACTTGAAATATTACTTAAAATACCTTGTCTAATACCAAAATGACAATACTGTCCTCCAGTTATATTAGTAACAGGTACAAAAGACTTTGACGTAGAGTGCGTGTATCCTTCGGCAATTCAGGAAACAAATTACCCAAAATTTTTAACAAAGATGCTAATGCTTCATCAGTTATAGCAAACTTAACTGCCCACTGTATCAAATCATTTTTTAGTTTTTCATTGTTGACATCATCAATTGTTTCAGAATCTGATGACTCTAATGGGTAAGATTAAGAATCAGAATTTTTTAGATTACTGTCAGAGTTCACTTCACAATCAATATTATTTGCACCTAAGGGAATAGCACTCTCAGTTGAAAGTTTTCGATCTGATATACTCTTTAAATACAATGATTGTACTTCTTCTGGTGAATGTGAAATATTGCTTGATTTATTGGTAAGATCTTTTAGGCAATATTCAATAGCTAATATCTTTCATCGTTTTATCCAAAAGCTCACTATTGAAACTTACATAAACTGTTTTATTTACTAAAGCTGGTACATATGTAAAAATGTATACAATATATGTGTATATATATATATATATATATATATATATATATGTGTGTGTGTGTGTGTGTGTGTGTGTGTGTGTGTGTGTGTGTGTGTGTGTGTGTGTGTGTGTGTGTATATATAAATATATATGTATATATATATATATATATATATATATATATATATATATATATATATATATATATATATATATATATATATATATATATATATATATATATATATATATATATATATATATATATAACTTCATATTAGTATAATATTGTTCTTGTTATATTAAAAGTTATATGACTAGTCATGTAACAAGAACAATGTAATATGATTATAACATTGTTACATAACTGTAACAATGTTGTTAAAGTTACATATGTTTAAAATAAAATCAAATTAGTATTTTTAAAGTTTGAGTCTTATAAATATATATTGAACCTATATGTATATCTATACCTATACTAAGTATAGATATAGATATAATATATAGACTATATTACTATATTATAGTAATCTATACTAAGTATAGATATAGATATAATATATAAGTATAGATATAGATATAAATTATAAATATAGATATAAATATAATATATTGTAATATAATAAAAAGTATAGTATACTTTATATTATATTATAATATATGATTTTATATCTATATTTATAATTTATAAATATAGATATAGGTATAAAACCATGTAACTTTAATATTTATAAGCAATAATTATAGCTATATTTTATAATATAAAGTAATACTTTATAAAGTTATGCTTTATATTATAAAATATAGCTATAATTATTGCTTACTAGCAAAAAGCAACCCGTAATACGGGTTTTGGTCGGTCTGCTACATAATTAATTTATAGTGGCTGTTTTACAAAATTTAATGATGCAAAACCTTAACTAATACCCTTTTAGAAAATCGCCTTCAGCTTGAAAAAATTAATCCATCTGTAAAATTAACATAAAAAGTATAAGGAGGTAAAATAATTTACCAACTACTACTAAACAATTACTACTTAACATTATTTAAGTAATTTACAAATGGCATAGGTCATAACAGTGAAAGGCAGAACCATTTTCATCGACCTTCCTAAGTTTAACACAATACGTTTTTAGTTACTGACACAAAATAATAACACTTGGTCATGCTTTAAATTGACGAAAGTGTCAATTTAAATCCTTGTAATAATTTTTATAATACAAACCATTAAGATTAAAATGAAGTTAACTTATATTATACAGGAGTTATCAATTTTTTGGTATCCCCTTGATTAATTATTCTTTAGAAAAGAAAATTGTTAACTTAAAAATGTTAAATGCACACATAAATTTATAAAAAATAACAAAGTTTATTATAAATAACTACGCAACTGAGTACAAATACCTTTCAAACAAAAAAAATTAAATTTACGATCAAACATGGGTATAACAACTTTTTTAATGCATAAATGCATTATATGACAAACCTAAAATAAAAATTATAAGAGATAAGTAGACATAAGAATTTGTAAACCAAGCTGACCCGACCCGAGTCTTGTTAAGTCTATTCAACACAGACCATTTCTATATTATTTGTTTACATAAATATATTATTTGTTTACATAAATCATACGAAAAGAGCAAATACAAAGTATGCGGATCAAATGTTTATGAAGTAGCTACCAAGTTCTGCAAAAACAATTTAGTGTATTTATTCGCCTTGTTTGAAGAATGTGGTGCTGGAGTGAGCGATAAATCAACAGAGTTTTGTTTCGAAAATCAAGTATTTAACTCATTGACACATGGAGTCTGTAAAGATCAAGTGTACAACCGAATAGAATTTTTCTGCTTTAAAGATACAATATTTACCAGAATTGATAATGAAATATGCGGAGGCATTGTTGAAAAAAAAGCTGACTGGTTTTGTTATGAAAATGTACCATACGAAAAAAGTAAGTTTAAGTTTTGTGGATCAAATGTATATGAAATAGCTACAAAGTTCTGCAAAAACAATTTAGTATATTTAATCAACTTGTACGAAGAGTGTGGCGATGGAGTAAGTGAAATAGCAACACAGTTTTGTTTTGAAAATCAAGTATTTAACATCTTGTCACATGCAGTCTGTAAAAATAAGGTTTACAAACTCATTGATTCATTCTGCTTTAATGACATGATATTCAACAAAATTGATAATGAAATATGTGGAGACCATGTTCATTTGACAGCTGACTGGTTTTGTAACAATGATAAATCATACAAAAAGAGCAACTACAAAGTATGTGGATCTAACGTTTATGAAATCGCTACGCAATTCTGCAAAAATAATTTAGTGTACTTAATCAACTTGTACGAAGAGTGTGGTGATGGAGTAAGTGAAAAAGCAACACAGTTTTGTTTTGAAAATCAAGTATTTAACATCTTATCACATGCAGTCTGTAAAAATAAGGTTTACAAACTTATCGATTCCTTCTGCTTTAATGACATGGTATTTACCAAAAATGATAATGAAATATGTGGAGACCATGTTCATTTGACAGCTGACTGGTTTTGTAACAATGATAAATCATACAAAAAGAGCAACTACAAAGTATGCGGATCAAATGTTTATGAAATAGCTACGCAGTTCTGCAAAAATAATTTAGTGTATTTAATCAGCTTGTACGAAGAGTGTGGTGATGGAGTAAGTGAAAAAGCAACACAGTTTTGTTTTGAAAATCAAGTATTTAACATCTTGTCACATGCAGTTTGTAGGAATAAGGTTTACAAACTTATCGATTCTTTCTGCTTTAATGACATGGTATTTACCAAAATTGATAACGAAATATGTGGAGACCATGTTCATTTGATAGCTGACTGGTTTTGTAACAACGATAAATCATACAAAAAGAGCAACTACAAAGTATGCGGATCTATGGTTTATGAAATAGCTACGCAGTTCTGCAAAAATAATTTAGTGTATTTAATCAACTTGTACGAAGAGTGTGGTGATGGAGTAAGTGAAAAAGCAACACAGTTTTGTTTTGAAAATCAAGTATTTAACATCTTGTCACATGCAGTTTGTAGGAATAAGGTGTACAAACTTATCGATTCTTTCTGCTTTAATGACATGGTATTCACCAAAATTGATAACGAAATATGTGGAGACCATGTTCATTTGATAGCTGACTGGTTTTGTAACAACGATAAATCATACAAAAAGAGCAACTACAAAGTATGCGGATCTATGGTTTATGAAATAGCTACGCAGTTCTGCAAAAATAATTTAGTGTATTTAATCAACTTGTACGAAGAGTGTGGTGATGGAGTAAGTGAAAAAGCAACACAGTTTTGTTTTGAAAATCAAGTATTTAACATCTTGTCACATGCAGTTTGTAGGAATAAGGTGTACAAACTTATCGATTCTTTCTGCTTTAATGACATGGTATTTACCAAAATTGATAACGAAATATGTGGAGACCATGTTCATTTGATAGCTGACTGGTTTTGTAACAATGATAAATCATACAAAAAGAGCAACTACAAAGTATGCGGATCTAATGTTTATGAAATAGCTACGCAGTTCTGCAAAAATAATTTAGTGTATTTAATCAGCTTGTACGAAGAGTGTGGTGATGGAGTAAGGCAAAAAGCAACACAGTTTTGTTTCGAAAATCAAGTATTTAACATCTTATCACATGCAGTCTGTAAGAATAAGGTTTACAAACTTATTGATTCTTTCTGCTTTAATGACATGGTATTTACCAAAATTGATAACGAAATATGTGGAGACCATGTTCATTTGATAGCTGACTGGTTTTGTAACAACGATAAATCATACAAAAAGAGCAACTACAAAGTATGCGGATCTATGGTTTATGAAATAGCTACGCAGTTCTGCAAAAATAATTTAGTGTATTTAATCAACTTGTACGAAGAGTGTGGTGATGGAGTAAGTGAAAAAGCAACACAGTTTTGTTTTGAAAATCAAGTATTTAACATCTTGTCACATGCAGTTTGTAGGAATAAGGTGTACAAACTTATCGATTCTTTCTGCTTTAATGACATGGTATTTACCAAAATTGATAACGAAATATGTGGAGACCATGTTCATTTGATAGCTGACTGGTTTTGTAACAATGATAAATCATACAAAAAGAGCAACTACAAAGTATGCGGATCTAATGTTTATGAAATAGCTACACAATTCTGCAAAAACAATTTAGTATATTTAATCAACTTGTACGAAGAGTGTGGTGATGGAGTAAGTGAAAAAGCAACACAGTTTTGTTTTGAAAATCAAGTATTTAACATCTTATCACATGCAGTCTGTAAAAATAAGGTTTACAAACTTATCGATTCATTCTGCTTTAAAGACTTGGTATTTACCAAAATTGATAATGAAATATGTGGAGACCATGTTCATTTGATAGCTGATTGGTTTTGTAACAATGGTAAATCATACAAAAAGAGCAACTACAAAGTATGTGGATCTAATGTTTATGAAATAGCTACACAATTCTGCAAAAATAATTTAGTATATTTAATTAACTTGTACGAAGAGTGTGGCAATGGAGTTTGTGAAAAGTCAAAAGAGTTTTGTTTTCAAAATCAAGTATTTAATATTTTAACACATGCAGTTTGTAAAGATAAGGTTTACAAACTCATTGATTCATTCTGCTTTAAAGACATAGTATATATTAAAGTTGAGAATGAAATATGTGGAGATCATGTTCATTTGACAGCTAGCTGGTTTTGCAACAATGATAAATCATATGAAAAGAGTAAATTCAAACTCTGTGGATCAAATGTTTATGAAGTAGCTACAATGTTCTGCAAAAACAATTTAGTTTATTTAATTAGCTTATTCGAAGAGTGTGGTAATGGAGTTTGTGAAAAATCAAAAGAGTTTTGTTTTCAAAATCAAGTATTTAAAATATTGGAGTTTGGTCTTTGTAAGGGTAGCCTATACAAACGTATGGATTCATTATGTTTTAATAACGTTATCTACTCTGCAAATGATAATGAAGTATGTGGAGATATTGTGCAT